TTGCTCCCACAGAGGAGGAGACCCTTAAGAAGAGGAACAGGCTGAGCGGATGGAATACCTTTATTTTGTGTTGTAGTCTTTAGTTCTTCCTTTCCTGGGGCTTGAAGAATACCAGGTGGGTGCGAGAAAGAACTCCTTGGATACAAGGTTCTGGCCTATTCCATTTGGGCTGCTATAAAAATAATGACAGTCGGCTGGATGACTTCTGAACAGAAATTTATTTTTCCCAGTTTTGAGGGCAAGAAGGATAGATCTGCTCCGTGATTCACAGACACTGTCTTTTTGCTGTAGTCTCACCTAGCAAAAGGGCCAAGGACTCTCTGTAACCTCTGTCCTAAGGACACATCCCATTCATTAGGACTGTTGTCCTGACTTACCCACTTCTCAAAAGTCTCAGACAACACCATGCACTGGTTGGGGCGATTTCAATATTTAAATTTAGAGAGGACGTACACACTGAGAGCATGGGCACTTGTACACCTATTGTGAGTGAATAGTGAAGTAACTATTCTCTGCTGTGTTGGATGCTCCATCCTTATCTCCTCAGGGGACCCCTGAGTCACCTGTGCAGGGGACGCTTCCTGGTGTCCCCAGCAGCTTCTGACTCAAAGAAGCAGCTTCTCGTTTTTCACAGCTCAAGGGCTTTCTCTGAGCCTGAGAAATGTGCAGAGCCCACTTGCAACACAGGCAGGAAGCTGGTGATTTAACAGCCCTAGGAGAAGCAGCCCTCAAGAATTGAGAAACAGACAGCTTGGAAAGGCCTCAGTGGCCCAATCTAAAGTAAATTCTAAAAAGTAAGGAAATAGAAAGCAAATGTGTTTTCTATAATGCCACGGAAAACTTCTGGTAGGGTGACCCCAGTGCCAGCTCACCCTTCTGTGGCTCCTCTTTCTCTGCTTTTTAAGGATCATCTCCCAACCAAACTACACATGCCCAAGACTTTTCCTCCATCTGCCCTTTAAGGCACTACAGCTAAGTGAAAAAATGAAAATTTCCTGCTAAATGCCATTAGCTTTGCACTAAGACAACATACTAAGAACACATTGAATTGAGGAGCAAGAAAACCGTTTTGAGTATCTTGAGAAAGACAGACAGATTTGCACAGGAGAGGATCCAGTGCCACAACCCCATGAGCAGAGAGGTGAAGGTTAAAACCCTCCAGACACGTGGCTCTCATGCACTGAAACACCTGCAAGACAAGAGATTTTGTCATCTGCCTGACATTTGTCATCATAAATATAGAAACTGCAGTGTCTAAACTGTGAAAGACTGACCCCTCATCCCCAACATATAACAACCATAGATGATAACTCTGTTTGCACTTCGGCATCGGTTCTAACTCTTGTTCTCCTGAATATCAGGTGGGCTGTGGTTCCTGCTTCTGGATTCTGTCAAGAATCCTTGTTCCATTATTTCTCCTACTAACAGACCTTGAACAGGTCTCTAGTCTTTCATAAAATACCAGAAAGACCCCAAGTCACATTCTTAATCACAATGAATAGGACAGAGCCCTAAGGAGCAGTGGTAGAATCAATTGCTAGATCTCAAATTTGTTAACTTGGTATACATGGATTTCAAACAAAAAATTCAAACAAAAATTTAGATTCTAAAATATTTAACTAATCTAAAGTTTAGATTATCATTTTATATAGATGCAATTGTCAACGTTGAGCGAATTTTTAAGTACAAGTTTTTTTCACTTAAGACATTATGTTTCTGGGGCTAGAGAGATGGCTCAGGGATTAGATTCACTGACTGCTCTTCCACAGGACCGAGGTTCAATCCTCAGCACTGACATGGTGGCTCATGTCTTTAACTCCTGATTCAAGGGGGTCTGATCCCCTCTTCTGACCTCCTTGGGCACTGCATAAATATGGTACACAGACATATAGTCAAACAGAACTTCCAAACACATTAAATCAATCAATTAATCAAAAATTGCTATAAAAAGTCATGTTCTGTGTTAGATATTCTCCAGATAATGGTCTATAGCAATTCTAACATCCCAGTGGTTTGAAAATGCAAACATTTATGGCACTATCACAGCCTATAGTTTGGGTGAGGTTTGGCCATTTTCCAACTAGCCTGGACTGAGCCAGCCCTCAAATTGTGAGTCAAGGTTGGGGATGATTCTTGTTTTTTGTTTCAGGAAAGAAGATAAAGGAACAAGAGCTACCCCGTGTTCTTCTATGGTAGAAGGGAGAATATGTAGATCCAAAGACAACCATGCATGCACATTTAAAGTCTCTGTATTGACTGGCTAGATTTAACCATTTCACAGTGTATATGGGCATATATGTATACATAAATATTTTGTAAACATTATGTTATTCCATAAATAGATATGTTTTATTGGTCAGTACTAATACGTGAATTACATATGCAAGGAGTGTCTGCATGCAAGCTGTCAATATCACGGCTGCTCTCATTCCATTAACTAGAGAATGTCCTGATCCCCTGTCTGAGAAAAGGCATATTAGTGCCTAACTGAGAAACACTACACAGTCAAACAGCGAAGGGCAAACATACATATTTCTATTATTTAGGGGAGTGAAGAGCTGGACACCTACCATAATATAGAAATTTGTAAACATACTCCAGAGTAATAGAAAGTCACAATAAACCCCAATGTGCCCATCAAACACCTGCAGCCATCACCTCCCTATGAATCTTATTTCCTACTCCCTCATTATTTTGAAGCAAATCCTGTGTTTTATGAGGGTCTTTTATGGAAAGAAAAAGAAACTATATTTTTAGAGGAGACAGAAGATTGTTCAGATCTCAAAGTGTTTACAAAACAGTAAAAACAATTTACAAGCACAACACCACCATGAGAAATGAGCACCAAGACATATTAGCCACACAGAATCAGTCAACGCCACATGCTGCATATAGGCACTGACTCTGAATATTGATGAGGTTGATATTTCACTTCCCATCTAGCTAGAATTATGAATACCACAAAATAATAAAAGTCAACACCCACTTCTTATCTAGTCCATTAGTCTCAATGGCAAAAGAGAAGAAATTTACAGCAAAGAGAACTTAAGATGATAACCAATGTTGCTCTGTCTGTGGGTTAGAATTTGATGGCTTGGGGCCAAAGTTCTTTGCTTTCATAAGTGAAAACATCCTGTGATTTCAAAATAAAAATAAACAGTAAGTTTGCATTGAGGTACAAACACCAAAGAAAAACAAAACTAAAGCAAAGAGCACAAATAAGAAATTTGTGTAAGTAGATGGAATAAAAGGGATTATCAGACCAAGACATTATGAGGGCACCATTTCCACCCACTCCTAAAACAGCATCTTAGTTTCTGGGTAGCCTATGAAAGGCTTTGTTGTCTATCTGATTACAATATTAATGGCCAATGCTGACATAAGGAAATACCCCCAAGTGACCTGAACAACAGAAATTTATGTTCTCAGAGTTGCAGCTGTTCACGGTTATAATGCAGGCTTTGGTAGGCTTGGTTTCCTTGAGGCCTCTTTCCTCACTCACCGCACAGTGTGCACAGTGCCTTTCCTCTGCTCATGCATGCCTGGATCCTCGAGTTCTTCCTGTAAGGATCTGTGTTGTATGTCGACCTTACTTCACCTTAATTACATCTTCAGAGTCGCACTGGGAATTTAGACTTCAACTTAAAAATTTGGAGGGTGACATAATCCAGTCTTAACAATTACATCATCACTTATATGTACTGCTAATACCAATCAGATAATAAAATAGCTGGTGATAGTAGGTCATCTTCTATTCTCATTATGTATCAGGATCTCACCAATGTGTTTTAAATTAAAGTTATATTGATCTCATTATAACTGACAACATTCCTATTACAGAGGTACAATTCTCATATTTTGCAAATGAACGAAGTGGTCCAGGTGAGGTAGTTAGTGAAATTCAAGTTGCCCATTTACATACAAACTTAAGATAATAAGCAGTGGATTTTTATAATATTTATGGTCTAAGAATTGCAAAGGACATGCTTATACTAATATCTGTTGATCTAAAAATTAAAATGTTACTGAGAATCATGGATTTCACTTGCTAAATCATATGCCCTGAGAGCAAGTTACATTTCTTTTTTTTTTTTTTTTTTTTTTTTTTTTTGGTGTTTCGAGACAGGGTTTCTCTGCGTAGCTTTGTGCTTTTCCTGGAGCTCACTTGGTAGCCCAGGCTGGCCTCGAACTCACAGAGATCCGCCTGCCTCTGCCTCCCAAGTGCTGGGATTAAAGGCGTGTACCACCACGCCCGGCTCATCAAGTTACATTTCTTATTATACAGCCATAGTGGGTAATAAGTTGCTCAAGAGACCTTGTCATTTTCAAGGGATGCAAAGGAACTGTTGAGAGGGCACAAGAAAAGATTTGTTCCAAATACAGTAGCTCCTTTGTAATCTCCTTTCCACATCAAGATAGCCAATCAACCTTCTCTTGAGAGAAATCCATATATCCCCTTGACATAAAAACATAAGTTTGCAAAACTCCTCTCTGTTAAGTAAAAGTGTTTTATCTTCTGGATGTGTTAAGTTGTTCACTGGGGGTGGGGTGGAAGAGGTTTTTTGTTTTGTTTTGTTTTTGTTTTGAAGGGGATTTTATGTCTGAAATCAATCGTTCTGAAACTCTTTCTCTAAAGACTTCCCCAAGAATGTCTTGTTTCTTGAAGGTCTTGAAATGAGGGTTTGTAAACCACGGCCAGTGTCATAGGCTGCTGAAGCTTTTCCAAGTCATGTTGAGTCAGAGTTCATCTCTGTACATTAATCAGCTTTTCAGCTCACTCTGCTCTAGACTGCAAAGACAGAGCTCAGTAGCTGCAACAGAGAATACATGTTCCAGAAGGATAAAAATATTTACTGTACTACTTTCCAGAAAGAATTCTACCCACACTCGGTGTCTAAATGTAACACTCTGTTTCTGATGTCTGATGGTGGAGCTGAGAAGCAAGTCGCCAGGAGGTTCTTCCCGAGTTTGTAAGTGGCAAGATTAACTGGGCAGATTGATTTTCTGTGATATCTTTTAATTACTTTCTGTCACTTAGAAAAATTGTCTCATAACGTAGCAAAGCTATCAGACAAAGCGTTCCCACTGAAGACAGTCCCAGGGATCGCTGCCGGTAATGACCTGTAATTCTGGAGAAATAAACAAGGATGAAGCTTTTCACCAGGACTGTCTATCAGTCTTTTCTGTACTGTTTATTCCTCTTTCTGAAAGCACACATTGAAGATAAATCCAGTCATTTCTTCCCTGTCTCCAGATCACTCTCTGAGTCGATACTCTAGCAAAGTACTACAATCCATGTTAGATTTACAGATAAGATATTTTAGGCCATTAGATGCTTACAATAATCTAAGAGGGTTTAGAGTGATTATCCTACAACAGCCCTGGAAATTGTGTGTGGTGTGTGTGTGTGTGTGTGTGTGTGTGTGTGTGTGTGTGTGTGTGTGTGTGTGTTCTAGGTTGCCCCTGTCTTCTTTCTCATTCTTTTTATTAGCCTGCAAAGTTACATATTTGCCTATGACATTTTCATGCACACTTAGTTTTTGCTGACCCTCCCCCATTTCCCTGTCCCCAGCCCCTGCTTAAGTCCTTCCACCCCCCTGTACCCACTTCCCAAATCATAGCACATGTATTGGATGACCCCCCTACTCCTCTCCCTTTAAGCCTCTTTCCCCACTCTGCTGGGCTCCTTTCTAATTTCTTGTCCCTACACACACTAACTCCCACATAAACACACACATACACACACACACACACACACACACACACACACACACACACACATAAAAATTAGAAACTAGGATCCACAATATGTGGTGTTTGTCTTTTTCGAGTCTGGGTTATATAACTTAATAAAACAGTCTCCACTTCCATACATTTCCCTGCCAAATTCACATTTCCATGTAGCCCAACAAAATTCCACTGTGGGCATTACCTTGTTCTCCTTACCTGCTTACCAGTTGGTAGACATCTAGGCTGGTGCAATTTCCTTGCTCTTGTCAAGAGGATAGCAAGAAGCATGGTTGTGAAGTATCTTTGGGGTAGGAAGGAGTCCTTTGAGTACACACCCAGGGGGTGCTGTAGCTGGGTCATATGGCAGCTCTGCATTTAGCTCTTGGGAACACCTCCACCCTGATTTCCATAGTGGTTGCCTCAGTTACACTCCCACCCAGAGGGAATACAGGCCCCTCTCTCCCCACATTCAGACCAGTATTTCTTGTCCTTTCTTTTCTTGATGATGCCCATCTGACTGGGGCGGCATAAAAATCCCAAAGTGGCTTTAGCTCATATTTTGCTGATGGCTAAGGATGTTGAACACTTTTAAAAATATTTATTGGCTGTTTAATTTCCTTCTCTCGAGAGTCCTTTGTTCGGTTCCAGGGGCCATTCGTAGAACGTACCATGTGTTGTCTTGTCGTTTGGTTATTTGAGTTCTTTGTGTATTCGAGATATTAATCCTTTGTCAGATGCATAGCTACAGCCGGCGAGTTTTTTTCTTCCACTCTGAGTCTGTAGGCAGTCTCTTCCCTCAGTTAACTATTTACCACACAGAAGTCTTTTAGTTTCACAAAGTTCCATTTGTTAATGGTTGATCTTGTTTACTGAGTGGCTAGCGTTGTACCTGAGCCCATCAAAATATTTTTCCTACTTTTTCCACCAGCTGTTTCAGGACTTTCATAGGGGTCTTTGGTCCATTTGGCATTAGTTTTTGTGAAAGATAATAGCTAGGAATCGATAAATAATTCCCTCTTCTACATGTAGCTGTCCAATTTTCCCAGCATCACTTGCCTATCTTTTCTTTGAAGAGCATTTATGACATCACTGTCAGATATAAGGTAGCTGCTGCTACTGCTGCAGGAGGCTGTGAGAACAAGGTTCCTGGCAGTTGTAGGCTAGCCTGGTGCATGGGCGTGGTATTGCTTCCTGGAGTGCCATTCCTGCGAAGCAGAGGTAGGCCTAAGCAAGGGAGGAAGGGTTTAGGAGACTGGGTGGGTTGGGCTCCTGGTACAGGAATTTCAGAGATGATGTGAGAGGGCTTAAGCAAGCACAGCTGGCTTCACTACTTGCTGGAAGGCTATGTAGGCCCTTGTTTGTTTGTTTGTTCATATATTCATTTATTCATTTTATTTATTTACTTATTTATTTATTTAAGCTGAGATAGTCTGGAATCTATGGTGAGGCTTTCCATAATGCTTTATTTGACTTATTGTGGATTTCATTTCCAGTGTTTCAGTTTGGTTTCTCTTCAGTACTCCTACATCTGTGCTGAACATCTCTTCTGTATCTTGGATTGATATCCGTATTTCATTCAGATGTTTGTATTCTCTTGATGCTCATTTGGAAGTTTATTTTCTCCTTTGGATTCTTTGAGCAAACTTAGAATCCTTCTTAGAATTCTTTGACTGTGACTTCTTTGGCCAGTAGATATTAACAGCTGTGCCATGACAAGGCCTTGTAACTTATTCATTCACCGAGGCTTCTCACTAGTGCATTCATTCCTCTCAGTACCCTTAAAGCAAACTCACCTAGCCCAGCCATCACAGCCGATAGCACCCAGCCCTTACCCCAAGACCAGATGCCATGGTTATTCAGTACCAGAACTGTACCACCACACAGCCTAAGTTGCTGACATAAAAATGCATGATAAATTCATGTCTGTTGGTGACCCTGAGGTTTGATTTGTCTTTCATTTGTTAGACAGCATCATTGTGGCACTAGATAACCAGCAAACATAGTGGATATGACAGACAAAGCTTCCATTCTCCCAGGTTCACATTCTAAGGTGGGAACAAGATAATAGATGAATGAATAAACAAAGAAATAAATGCTAGCTGGGCGGTGGTGGTAGCACACCCCTTTAATCTCAGCACTCTGAGTTCAAGGCCAAACTGGTCTACAGAGCGAGTTCCAGGACAGCCAAGGCTACACAGAAAAACCCTGTCTTAAACAAACAAACAAAAGAAAGAAATGAATTAGAAAAAATAGCTGCTGGTAAAACCCGGCAAACCCGTCTTTGAAGGATGAAGGGGAAGTAGGGTCAGCACACCGTGAACAATGGCTTTTCTACTCTGTGAGAGTTACATTTTGGTTATGATGAAGGAAAGCCAGCTAGGCAAGGACGAAGGGAAAAAGTGACCCACGCAAAAGGAGCTACAGGGAAGGCCCTAAAGAAGGGACAGATTTGACTGTTCTGGGGACAGAGGGTAGCTAACCTGGCAGGAATGACAATAAGCTAAAGAGACAGCCGTGCCCTTCCTTTTGGCTACTGGGCTAGTAAAATAATGGTCTCCAAGAAATTGGAATATCTCCCCAAATTTCTTTCTGGGAGAAGGAAAAAGCTGAAGCCTGGTGCCAGCCAGAGGGGGTACTTGTCCTTTGGAGGAAATTTTGTGCAATTTGAACAAAGCAGCAGGACACGCTTCAGCAGAAACTAGAGCTGTGATTACAGTTTGTGGTGACAGACAGGACGGTACCTTGACCCGCATTGCTTAGGCAAGCACAGCTCTGTCCCTCCCTTCAACCTCATGTGGGGACTGGAAACAAAAAAAATGAGGACATGACTGCTCCTAGGTATGGCTGAGAAGGTTTATTGAAGATGTGAGGGAGAGCACAGCCAGAGGCATCTGGATCGGTCCACATTGAACTGGGCCATGGGTAGGGAGGGGTGAGAGAGGAAGAGAACAGAGAGAGGAGATGGGGGTCTAAGAGAGGAGTCACGAACCAAGTGGCCAAGAGTCCAGAACACCAAAAAAGGACCTCATGTCCAAAATGGCTGAGGTGATGGAGGAATCAGAGTAGCTGGGGGAAGGGAAGCCCAGACCCTGAGCTGGAGAGTTTAGGGTAAGGGGCGGAGTATGCCAGCCCCGATGGATGACTTCGACAGGTGCTGAGAGATGCTAGGAGCACCTTGCAGCCAGTTTCTGTTTTGATATGTGAAGTAGTCATTTCTGTCATTTGTCTTGAGTTTGAGACCTAAAGGGAACCTCAGAAGACAGACCTTGAGGGGTCACTTGATGGCTTTGTCCTGATTCCCAATGTGGCCATGCTGACTAAACCCCCTTTTTCTGATTTTCACTGTTGCTTATTTGTTTAATTGGCTTCTTGAGGACAGGCGGCCAAATTTGTCATATTGGGGCTATCAGGGCACAGGCTCTGGCCCTGATACCTCTAGTAACAAGGCCACTAGGCTCGGAGTATAGGGAGTAAAAGGCAGAGAGTATCAGATAAGACTAAAGAGGTAAAAGGGCCACCTCTAAGATCTCCACAAACTACAAGGCCATTGGAGTGGCCCACAGAGACGGCCATTCATTGTGTTCTTTTGTCTCAGGTCCAGGGCTGGCTCAGCCAAAGGGAAGCTGCTGGAAGAAAACAATCCCATTCTAAGCCTTTGATAAGGAGGAGGGAAGGAACAGAGATGTTCCTGCGGTTGGGGGATGGGGAGGAGCCCACCAGGAAGGAGATTCCCCTAGGCAGGGCAGGAAATGGGAGGCCTGCAGTGTCCCATGTTGAGAGCCAAGGCCAGCCTTTGGAGGGGAGGAGGGGTGGGGCTTCCAGTGGACAGCTGCAAGGACCTCTGGGAGGCCTTCTCTAAACACTGTGGCCCTAGCCTGGCCAATGATCCTTTGTGAAGGAGTGGTAGGGAAGCCACAGATCTCAGTTTCCAGTCACTGTGCACACTCAGACAAGGTGTCGACCTTGGAAAGAACAAGGGGAGGCCTCGGCAGATTTTCTTCCTTCGGCCTCCCTTTCTCTCCCCCGAGATCAACCAGAAGACTAACGATGATCAGAGAAATGTCCAGAAACACAGCACTGCTCCTATCAGTCATTTGAAGTGAATCCATTGAGCCTCAAAAGTACCACACCCAAGTGAAAGAAGCCAGACACATCTATGAAGTTCAGAAACAGGGGGAAGGAATCAGTAGTGGTAGAAATCAGCACAGGGCGCTCCTCTGAGAGCTGGAGTGGGCAGCAAGGATTTGGGGGGCACAAGAATCTGTATGGGATGAGAGGAATGCTGAGCGTTCCTCCCGGAGTTCTCCTGGATCCTGTGTGTAAAAGAGGTTGGGAATGATGAAAGAAGTGGCCAGGGAAAGAGAAGAAAATAAAGGTTAGGGTAGCCCAGGCTATGCGGCCGAGTCACACCCATGGCACATTTTCTGTCCGCTTGTTCCATGAAGTGAACATCTAGATTGTGACAAGTCGGGGTCAAGCACAATGTGTTCTGTGAGGCCGGAAAGTAAGCCAGGCAGCTCAGGGTCAGAGGCTGCGTTCCAATGCGGACAGGATCATCCTGCCTGAAGGGAAAGGGCTCTGGGTTGAAGAGAAGCCAAAGAGGCAGGTGGGCCAAAAGAACGGGATGCATCCGCTGGGCTCTGCAGCCACCACTTAAACTCCCCCTCTCCTTAGAAATCCACAACTGCAAAGCCCGGGGTGCAGGCGCCATCTCTGTAGAAGGCGCCTGTCACCAAGAAACCTGGGCACAGCTTACTATGTGAATATGGGCTTTTCTTGGCCATATCAGGCACAGGCCAGTGGGCTGTTGGGCAGATTCCTGCTGACTGTGTGCCCAGGCTACTGAGGTTCCTGCCATCACATACACTGTTCCCTTCAAGAAATAAGGGAGAAAAGGGCTTCCCTGAGGACACTTGAGAAAGCATGATTTCCTTAGGCCAGAGGACACCACAGTGAGGTGATTTTTCTAAAATGCTGGGTTAAAGTGGACTGTTTTTTCTCCTTCAGTGTACTTTCTGTCTCTTCCTCCATGTCTCTCTTTGTCTCTCTGTCTCTGTCTTTCTGTCTCTGTTTCTCTGTCTCTCTCTGTGTGTCTCTGTCTCTGTCTCTGTCTCTGTCTCTGTCTCTGTCTCTCTCTCTCTGTGTGTGTGTCTGTGTGTGTGTGTGTGTGTGTGTGTGTGTGTTGTGGATCTCAGGTTGGCCTCAAATTCACTACGTAGCCAAGAATGTCCTTCAGACTTCCTCTGGCTGGGCACTGGGATTACAAGTGTGTGCTGTCTTGGCCAGTTTATCTGATGCTGGGGGCTTTGTGCATGCTAGGCAAGGACTCCCCTCTGAGTTAAATCCCCAGACCCCTCAACTCTCTTTAGAAAAATTGAGTAATTAACATGTCCACGGATGAAAAGAGTACTTTAGACCACTGTAAACAAGGATAAACATTTGTTAGGGAGAGGGGGGAAACACAACCCTCCACACAACCATGCTGTCTCTGCATATGTAACTATGGTGAGGCTGTTAGGTCTCAAACCCAGAACAAATGGCTGAGATGCCTATTAACATCTCAAAGCAAACTCTGGCTGCCTGGTTCTGCCAGCATCCCTCAGTCTTTACCTGTTACAGGGTCCTCCTGGCTGGCACACCCCACCCTCTGCCCTGAGCTCTCCAACCCAGGTCCCGGCTGCCCTTCCCCCAGCTGCTCTTCCCTATATAATCTAGCCATTTTGTCTGTTTTGCCTCTTGGTCAGTCTCTCGGCCCAGGCCACCCCTCTTGGTCAGCCTCTGTCCTCTTACTCTCCCTCTCCCTTTCTTCTCAATGTCCAGCTCAATCTGGCCACATTCACTGTAGACTTTTCTAGATGCCTCTGGCTATGCTCTCCCTCATATCTACAATAAGCCTTCTTCTCCACCATATGTAGGGGCAGTCATGTCTTCCTTTTTGTTTCTTTTTTTTTCCATTCAGGAACAACTTGACAACTCAGGCATACCAATAATTTGCTCTTAGAGAAAGA